GGTTTGAACCCCAACATTGGGATGCCTAGGCTGGGTGGGCACCCATACAGCTGGAGCTGGCCTGCACAGGCCTAACTCCTAGGCTCTAGGGATCACATCCAAACTCTTCAAATGTTTCACTCTACACCTGGCAATGGGCATTCACTCCTTCACTCGCTCATTCATTCATTCATTCATTCATCAAACACTCAACAGTGCCTCAGCGGGGAAGGTCTGGGTAAGATCTGTGGGATATACACAGCCTCTTGAGCCTGAGCCTGGAATTGCTGGAGCTTAAAAGGGCAGGGCCAGGCAGGAAATACCTCCGCAGCAGCGGACAAAACCTGAACCAGAGTAGGGCCAGACAGACTCCTTCAGCTCCAAGAGAAGGCACCAGCTGTGAGGAGTGGGCCTCTCTCTTCCCTTGCTGTGGGGAGGGGCATGGGCCTGTGGACTAAGAAACCACCAGAGAGCTTCCAGGTTAGTCAGCTAAGGAAACTTTCTGAGACTCTGGGGTCAACTGGGTGTGTGTTTGGGCGGGGGGGGGGGGGGGGGGTACTCAGGGGAAAGAGGGTTAGGCCTGAGAGGTGGAGCCCCCAAATTTAAAAAGGAACTTCAGCTGGCCATTGTTGCTCAGTGGTTGGCATCAACCTATGAACCAGGAGGCCATGGTTTGATTCCCGGTCAGGGCACTCGTCCGGGTTGTAGGTTCGATTCCCAGTAGGGAGCATGCAGGAGGCAATTGATGCTTCTCTCTCAACATTGAGGTTTCTATCTCTCTCTCCCTCTCTGAAATCAATAAGAATATATTTAAAAAAAAGAAAGAAAGAAAGAAAGAAAGAAAGAAAAGAAAAAGAAAGAAAAGAAAATAGCCCTAGCCAGTTTGGCTCAGTGGATAGAGCATCAGCCTGGGGACAGAAGGATTCTGGGTTTAATTCTGGTCAAGGGCACATGCCTGGGTTGCAGATTCAATCCCCAGTAGGGGTAGGGGGAGTACAGGAGGAAGCTGATCAATGATTCTCTCTCAACATTGATCTCTCTCTCTCCCTTCCTCTCTGAAATAAATTAAAATAGTACTAAAAAATGAAAAATAAATAAAAAATGAACTTCCTTCTCCCTCCTTTCCTCCAACCCCTCCCTGAAAAGAGAAGCCCAGGGCTCTCCTTTTCACACTAACGGATGGCGGGGCTGAGGGGAGTATAGGAGGAGGATAGGTGAAATGGGAGACAAAGAGCAAAGTAGGGGAGTCTTTGTTGCTGGGAAGCAACAATAATTCTGGGGCAGGATGGGGAGGTGAGCTCTACTTCAAAAGTTAAAGACAGCATCCAGGCGTGGCCCTGCCTCCCAGCACTGCAGGTGGAAGACCTCAGGATTGGGGTGGGGAGCAAGGACAGCTCACTCCATCCTCTCCTCAGCCACCCTTTAACCCTTCCCCGGCTGGCCCAAGGCCCAGAGTGATTCCTGTTAACTTCCCTGCAAACTACCTAGTGGTCTGGTCCATTCCCTTCCGCCCCCACACCCCAGATCACTGAGAGAGGCCTCGGGGACGGGAGAGGTGTCCCCACTCTGGCAACCACCCTGTCACCACCTGGGACCCCAAAGGTGGGGGAGCACACTGGGCAGTCCTGGGCATGTTGCACAGGGGCGTGCCCATGTGCAGTGTGATGGAATCACTGCAGACACATGTCAGCCTAGGAGGCCACGCTCTGTAGAGAGAGGCTGTGGTTCATGTGAGGGAGACCAGAAGGCAATTTCCTGGAGCCTAGCTCCTCCAAGTGCGACATGGAGAGATGCTAGGATGGAGCAGGACATGGAACTGTGGTTCTGAGGTGGGAGTCGGGGAAGCAGCAGCTGGGTACCTCCAGGCTGGGCTAACAATGGGCTCAAGCACCAGCCTGCACTGTTTTTTAGGGACAAAGGACAGGAATTGGGAGGGGGTGGGGCGCATCTGACCAGCCTGGTCCCAGCTGTCCACCCCGTGGACAGAGGTGCTGGAGGTCCCTGGAATATTACCCCTCACAGGCCAGCTGCTAGCCCCTAGCTCAGGGGTATTAAAGCACAAAACCAAAAACCTGCCCCACTCATTCATGCCAAAGACAAAGAGGAAACCTTGTTTGTCTTTTGGCTAAGCTGAGGGCCCCGCTCAACCTAGCAGCTGGGCTCCGGGCATGTGCAGGCATGTATTGTGTGTGTGCTTGCATGTGCCCCTGTGTGTATTCTGGGAACACAGACAGTTAACCCTCTGATCGGTGGCTGCTTGTGGCCCGGGGGCCGGTAAGAAAATCTCCCTGCCCTGGGGATGGAGGCCCTGGGAGGCTGAGTCCAGGCCAAGGAGTGAGGCCTGGAAATCCCCGGGGCCAGAGCCAGTGGGTCTGCCAGGCGAAGCGATCCTGGCCTTTCTGCTTCTCCAGCTCCAGGAGGGACCCCGAGAGCCCAGAACCCCATAGGGCATGAAGACAGAGAGGCAGGTCTAGGGTCATTTCCAAGGCTCTTAAACGCCTGGGCTCCTAGAGGACAAGAGTGAAGCGTGAGAGGTTCTCGCCACCTTGTGGGCACATGTGGTACTGCTAAGCCCTGAACAACCAGGCTGGTGGGGAGAGGGGGGAAAAACTGCTAGAACATCCACTAGACCAGTGCTCGGCAAACTCATTAGTCAACAGAGCCAAGTATCAACAGTACACAATTGAAATTTCTTTTGAGAGCCAAATTTTTTAAACTTGAACTTCTTCTAACGCCACTTCTTCAAAACAGACTCGCCCAGGCCGTGGTATTTTGCGGAGGAGCCACACTATAGGGGCCAAAGAGCCACATGTGGCTCGCAAGCTGCAGTTGCCGACCATGGCACTAGGGGTTGGGCTAGCGCTGACTATCCTCACACTTCCATGGGCACAAGGGGTTTGGTCGGGAAATCCACCCAGTACCCACCCAGGCTGGCTCAGCCCCACCTGCAGAGGCAAAGCTAGAGTCCTCAGAGGCAGTTGGACCATGTTTGAAACAACTTGAAGGAAGGTTTGCAGGAAGAATGTTAGCAGCTGGGTTCCGGGCATGTGCAGGCATGTATTGTGTGTGTGCTTGCATGTGCCTGTGTGTATTCTGGGAACACAGACAGTTAACCCTCTGATCGGTGGCTGCTCGTGGCCTGGGGGCTGCTCATCTGTTCTAAGGAAAGCCCAGGAAGGGGAGGGGCCCTGTCTGAGACCCCACAGCATCTCCACCACAGAGGGAAGGTAGACAGAGGGTTGTTGACTTCAAGGTTCATGCATTTCCCACAGGTCCAGTGAGTCCAAGACAAGGTGTCCAGCCTGAACCCCGGACCTACTGAGGCCCAGAACAGGAGCGGCCCAGTGAGAGTTTTTGCCTCAGTTTAGCCGGTGGGAGGGCATCTGGGACACGAGGAAGAGATGAAGCTGCAAGTGGGGCTCTGGGCTGGTCTGGGTCTTGATGTTAAAGGGCAATGAATAACAGTAGCATCTATGGGACAAATACTATGCTTAACATTACAAGCACTGGGGTATTTAATACCATGGCCCTTTAAGAAAAGCACCTGACAATCAGAGAAAATACTTGCCCTGGGTTACAGCTGGTAAGTGGCAGAGCAGGAATGTTGTGTATAGCGATTTTGACTCCAGTGAGTAAAAAGGCTCTGCTGAGTGAAAAAAAGAGCATGATTTGCTTGTTCCCTCCTAGGAAACCCAACAGGGCACAGCCAGCTCCAGCCCTGGGCCTCCCTCCAGCCAGAGGAACTGCCTTTTCTCCTGGAGGCCTGGCCTCAGTGCGCCCTCTGCTGTGCACAGGAGGAACAGAGAGAGTTCCCTCCTGCTGGGTCAGACCCAGGGCAGAGTCCTGGAGATGGCTAGCAGGGACCATGCTCCCCTCCCAAATACAGGCCAGGAAGCGGCTGGCTGACCACTGCTGCAGGGCCTCCAGCTTGTCCACATCTCACCTGCAGAAGGGTTGGCTTGGTCCTATCCTTGGTTTCTCAAGGCTTACCTCTCTTGGAATCTTGCCCACCTTCCCCTAAGCCTTGCAGGCGTCTTCAAACTACGGCCCGAGGGCCACATGCGGCCCGCAGAGGAGTCTGATCCGGCCCTCTGGTTTTTTGGGCAGTGAGCGCAGCCGAGGTGTTACAGTAGAAATTAGTAGTTCATATAGTCCGGCCCTCCAGCTCTCTGAGGGACCGTGATCTGGCTCCCACTTTAAAAAGTTTGAGGACCCTGCCTTAGGGCATGTTGATCCTAGGCCCATTCCCAGACCAGGACCACGGACCAGGTGGGTATAACCAGGAGGGCCCACAACAGGCCCCTGAGGAGGTGGGATACATTCAGAGCATTGCCATGTGGGTAAGGGGAAGACTTGGAATCCAAGAGCCAGGGAAAGGCCCTTCCCTAAAGGCTGGATCCTCATGAATCACACAGGGGTGAGGAAAGGTTAGTCAAGACTGGGGTCCCTATGGGCAACAAAGCATGAAGGAACAAGTATTTGGGAGTGCCCATCTTGGCCAGCTTTGTTTGAACCTGGGCTTGCCACTGGGTGGGACTCAGTGAGAAGAGGCGCACAGCCCACAACTCCTGTGGAAATAAGGCAGCACCCCAGGATTGGGCTAACTGCCTCAGGAATACCGCTGGGCCCGGCGAACCAGGGGGTTTGTCACGGGCCCTGAATCAGAGGCTTGACTGTACTCCAGACACTAACAACGGACAATTCACACTTTGTGGGTTTTTTATTTATTTCACTTAAACAAGCAAAACTGCTTATATTTAATTATACAAAGATATTTCTAACATAATTAGCATGGAAAATAAAAAAAAACTTAGGATAGTATAAATTAAAACGTAACAAAAAGGTATGTAAATATTCAGTTCAAAGGTACAGCATTTCAAGAATGTCTTTCCCATAATTTTCTTTCAAAAGCCCCATGATTTGGAAAAATTTTGGCATTATAATGAAAGAGTATCAAATTACGCAACAAAAAGCCCTGCTTTTATGAAATGCACGCAAGTTATAGAAGCACACTTGACTGAACACTTTATTTGTATCTGCCTTTGACTTGTACAAAAACTCTCAGCCCGCCACCCCCGATCTGGGGAACAGACAGAGGTTCTAGAGGGAAGAAGGTAGAAGAATGAGGCGTTGAAGTTCAATAGAAGGTCTTGTTACCCTGAGTAAAGGGAATCCAGGTAGGCTGGCACTCCGCTGTCCTCCCTCCCCGCAGGCCATCTGTCAATCTAATCTACTGGGCCCTCCTTTCCCCATGGACGGGCCATGGAAGGAGACCCAATCCCTTCTCTTCAGTGTTTCAGCTTCTTGTCCTACCTTGCCATCCTTAGAATTCTATTCCCGGAGAGTTCTCACCAATGCCCATTCACTTCTCTCACCTAACTCCCATAAGCCCCCCCTCCCCCGAACTCAGGGCGCTCAACTGAGCGCCCCCCCACCCCCGTGACCTCACAGCGGGCTGGGTCTGAGAGCAGGACAGTAGGCCTGAGTGCTTATCAGTGTAAAGCAGAGCTGGTGGTGCCATTGTGGCAAGATGTGAGGAGGCGCAGGGCTTCTGGGTGTGCCTGAAAGAGGGGGGAAGGGAGCCCCAGGAAGCCAAGGGTATGGGCTTATTTATCATAGAAGTCAACGTGGGCTCCAGACGTGAATGTATCTTTTTGAATCACATCTAGCAGTTTCTGGGCGGACATCCTACAATCCACCAGCTCCCCCTTTGTCTTCAGATCCTGCAGCCTTTTCCGCAACTCTGGGTCCAGAGAGTTCTCCCGGGCCGACTGCTGCATGTCTGTGTCCAGGGGCCCTGGGGGACAAAGAGCAGAAGATGAGGGGGGCTCTGCTGTGGGTGTGAAGTGGGGTGGGGTCAAGCTGGCCAGAGACAACACTTTATGTTAGCTACCATGTGTGGTCAGAGTCACCAAAGGTTCCACTTTGTCACTATTGAGCTCAAATCCCAATGCCCGCTGAACACGGTCCTGCTAGACCAGTGGTCGGCAAACCGCAGCTCGCATATGGCTCGCGAGTCGCAGTTCGCCGCTCTGTTGACGGATGAGTTTGCCGACCACTGGGATAGGGGCTTAATCACAAGGAACTACAACAGCCTGTAATTATTGGAATCGAGAGTCTAGGTCAGTGGTCGGCAAACTCATCCGTCAACAGAGCGGCAAACCGAAGTTTTCGAGCCGCAGTTTGCCGACCACTGGTCTAGACCACCCTGTGCACAACCAAACGTATTACCTCCTGTCCAACCAGCACCTCTTCCGAAAGTGACGTCAGTGAACTCTTACAGGCACTTCCCGTTTCTCACATCAGAACCAGAGCACCCCCAGAATCTGGAGTTAATGGCCTCAGGGGTGGAGTGTAAAGCAATCTCGTGGCTGGAAAAGCCAGCCTCCTGATCCCTGAATGTCTTTCAACTACCGTGTTTCCCCGAAAATAAGACATCCTCCGAAAATAAGACCTAGCGTATGGAAAGATAAGACATCCCCTGAAAATAAGATCTAGCGCAACTTTTGGGAGAAAAAATTAATATAAGACACTGTCTTATTTTCGGGGAAACGGTACCTGTGCGTTCCCGGTATGTGGGGACTTGCTCTTTGCCCAACAGTGCCCGTCCCTCTCGCCCCCACTGTGGACACCTCTTACAACCTTCTTTCAGAGACTGAAATGATACCACGACCTTCATTCCGGCCCTGGCAGCCTTGCCAAAAAAAGTTCAACTTCCTCCTAATTCCCAGAGTCCACTGGGATCTAACCCAGTCACATGTCATTCTGAAGTCTGCTCCACTCCTGGCTGTGGTTTTTATGTGCTCACAGTTGACTGAGTAAGTCCTAGGCTGAGCTCAGAGTGGGGGCTGAGCTGAATGCTGGCTGGAAGAGTAACTGAGTATGTGTTAGGGAGGACTGGGTCCTGGAGGGCATGAGGAAGCAGAAATGGCACTGATCGTGAATTTGGAGGTGAAGTTTGATCCTGGCTCTGAACTTTGGCCAGATCATTCTACCTCTTTGCCTGAAGGGCGCCAAGAGGAATAGGCTATTGGATCTCTAAGTTGCTCAGACATTAAACAATAGCTGTCACCACCTTCTAATTGCAGCAACCTCAAGCCTCGCTTTTAAGAAAGGCATCATGGGAGAGTCGTGAGAAACCAAACATCACAAGGTCCCCTGCACTTTAACTTCTGTGAAGGCCCTATCTTATTTACCGCAGAATTTCCCCACCCCCAACCAGTGTTCCAGCGCAGTTCAGGCTGATAAGCCGAGCATTCAACAATGTCTGTGTGCTCTTCATTCAACTGACATTTCCTGCAGACTGACTCAGTGGGGTGCTTTGTTATTCCCTGCCTTCAAGGCTTTCCTATCAAGATAGAGAAGTAGACAAATGAGGTTGATATCTAACAATCAGAAGTGCTAACAATTGGATGGCACTTCACAATGAGGGATTTTCACAAAAATTACCTGATTCAGTCCTCCTAACTGCCCGGAGAGACAAGTAAAATCTTGAGTTTTACATGAGGAAATGGGGTACAGGCTAGAATTCAAGCCCTGACTCTCAAACTAATAGCTCCGACTTTCTGGTCCCACTCTCCAGCTCAGGCAGCTCCCTACTCTCTCTCCCAACCCTCTAACTACGGCTCCCTGCTCCTGCCAGGTCTAACCTCACTGGGTCCTTTATTTCCCTTAAGGCAGTGTTTCCCAAACTTTTGACATATGTGTACCCCTTCTATAATTTTCGTAACGCTGAGTACCCCTCGTACTCATGAGAACGTAGAATTAGGCGCAGCTAAGCTCGGTGCAGTGCATATCCCCACCAAACTCCAGTGCAATACCCCTACCAAACTCTTCCCGTACCCCTGGGGGTACCCATACCACACTTTGGGGAACACTGCCTTAAGGAATGATGGCTCATGATTCAGGGAATACTATATTTGGAGGGACCAGACTAGGCCCCTTGCGTAGCCCCCAGAGGCAAACCAGCTGGTTCTGGGGGACAGGGATGGCAGTAACTTCCCACCTACCTGGAGCATAGCTCAGCACCCTCACACCAGGCTCCTCCGCGGCCAGGACCTTGAACATCATCTCCCGGGCGGCCTTCCCGGCGCAGTACAGCGCCCAGCCCTTGAAGGGCTGCAGGGCGCAGAGAGAAGAGACGTTCACCACAGTCCTGCTGAGGCCAGGGCTGTCTGGGAAGGCCCTCAGGACGCTGGAAGTCAGGCAGAGCATCGACGTTAAGTTCAGAGCCCAGTAGCTGTTGATCTCGGCAGCATCAGCCAGGGAGGCGAAGCCTTGGGACACATCCCCGAGCGTGCCTGAAAAACCAGACCTTCACAATCACCCAGTGCGAGCGGACTCTCTCCCCTCCCAGCCCTCTCCAAACTCCTCCGGACACTCCTTTCCCCTCCAGACCTATCGGAGTCGCCGCCCTAGAGCTCCCGAAGGCGTCTCTCCCTTGGCAGCTCTGCAGACACACACACACCGGGGGCGCCCACTCACCCCAAGCTGCAGAGGGAGAAGGTCTGGGGCCTGGGGGAGAGCTCTGGGGCCAGTTGCAGGAGCGGGAAATTGCCTTCCACGGGGAGACCCCATGCCCGGCCTCCGGCTTCCGCCAGGGGGCGCTGAGCAGGACGATCGGGAAAGTTCCACTTGGGCTCCGGGGAAACCTGGCCTTTAGCCGGGAGGGCGGAGGGCGGAAGGCGAAAGGTGGGAGGGGGGCATGGAAGGAGCACAGCTAGGGCTTTGGGGCGCCTTTCCTGACTCCCGGCGCCGGGGTCGGGGAGAGGGAGAGGGAACGGGGCGCCGGGCATTCCCAGCGCCCGCACGGGGAGGGGGGGGAAAGGCGGGGGGTCGGTGCCCCGCCGTGGGCGTCCTACCCGCGTTGTTGATCAGCAGCACCCGCTGCAGGCCCTCGGGCCGGGGCAGCCCGCGCACCGCGTCCACCAGGCGCTGCAGGCCGGCCGCGGCGCCCAGGTCGGCGGCCACCCGCACCACGCGCGGCCCGGGCCGCCCGGCGCCCAGCTCGGCCTCCAGCCGCCGCAGCGCCTCGTCGTTGCGGGCGCTCAGCACGAGCACGGAGCCCGGGGAGAGCAGCGGCGCCAGGAGCAGGGCCAGCACCCGGCCGAAGCCGCGGGAGGCCCCGGTCACCACGCACACCGCGCGCCCCAGGCCGCCCTGGGAGCCGCAGGCGCCCTCCATGGTCCGACTCCGCCGCCGGCGCGCAGGAACCGGGGCCCGGGGCGGATCGGCCGAGCAGGGGGCGACGGAGACCCCGCCCGACGGGGCGGGACCGAGGCCCGCGGGCGCCTGAAAGGGAGGACCAGCTCCCGGGGAGTCCAAGTGGGCGGCTCCAGGAAAAGGCTGAAGTTCAGCCTCCCACGGGAAATCCCAGCCCGGTGCTGAGCTGGCCCTGCTGCCCCTTCAGCTCCCCGCCGGCACGCACTCTCCTCCCAAGTCCAGACCCAACTTCCTCGTGACCAGGCCAGCTTGCACCGCGGCTAGCACCCTCTTTTTGCAAAAGCGCCTGCACTGTGGCTAGCACCCTCTTTTAGCAAAAGCCCTAAATGGCCTAAACCGGTTTGGCTCAGTGGATAGAGCATCGGCCTGCGGACTGAAAGGTCCCGGGTTCAACTCCGGTCAGGGGCATGCATCTTGGTTGCAGGCACAGGCAGCTGGTCGATGATTCTCTCTCGTCCATGTTTCTAACTCTCTATCCCTCTCCCTTCTCTGTAAAAAAATTATATATATATATTTAAGGTCACTTAAAAAAAGCCCTAAATGCAGCCCATGCCACATGCCAAGTTAAGGTTTGGGGTGTCTCCTGGGCTTGGGGAACTCACTGCCCTGTGGGTTACAGGAGGTACCTTCGGAAGATCCACAGTCGCTCCTCCAAGGGATGTAAAAACCTCTCCTTCCTTATCAGGCCCTAAGCAAGTTGGTGCCAGTGTTAGATTTCTTACTCCTCCGTTTCCTAAAGGCCTGTGTTCCCGGGATATTCTGTACCCACGCATGCTGCACTCTTCCGAATGGGCAATTGAGTAGCAATTGGAGTTACTCCCGGCTTTAAGTTTATAGAGATGGTCACCCAAGTCCTATCCAGGCCTGTGGTTCAGGAAACTCATATTTTGATGTTGTACTTTTTGTCCATCTGTAATCCTTCTTTAAAAAAATATATATATATATATTTTGCAGAAACCGGTTTGGCTCAGTGATAGAGCGTCGGTCTGTAGACTGAAAGGTCCCGGGTTCGATTCTGGTCTAGGGCATGTACATTGGTTGCGGGCACATTCCAGGTAGGAGGTGTGCAAGAGGCAGCTGGTCGATGTTTCTCTCTCATCGATGTTTCTAACTATCTCTCTCTCTTCCTCTCTGTAAAAAATCAATAAAATATTTTTTAAAAAAGAACATCTTTCTGCAATTTTACTCATTTTAGTCTCTTCCAGTAGAATTCCCACAAATAGTTCATTTGATCTCCTGGATCTACTGCTAAGTCTTTTATATTTTTATGTGCTATCATATTAATCATTTATCCTTTTCAGATGAATTGAAAGTATTTCTGAGCAGTCTTTTTATATCACTGTAGCTTTTTTTTTTATTTTTTTAGTTTGATATCACTGTAGCTTCCATCTGCAGTCATTGCCTCCATAGATTCACCTTTTTGAATAAAGGGCTGCAGATGCCCACCACGTGTAGGGATGGAGAATATGCTCCAGTCAAGTTTTATAAGGAAGAAAACCCTACAATTATTTAAAACAGCAACCATGCTGACCCAGATATACAATAACAAGAAATGTAGACTATGAATAAAAGGAGAACATGTCAGAGAAAAATTAGATATCCTACACCTGTTCATTTCTTTCTAACCAAATTTCAAAACAACAGACTTCACTTAAAAAATATTTCTACTTCTACTTTCGAGTCCAGGAGAAAATTTAAACAGAACACCTAATAAAAAGTGTTGTTCTAAATTGCTAACTATTTTTTAGTGGTAGAAGATGAAGGATTTTTGGCATTTGTTGAAGAAACAAATATTGCTTTCATAAAATGTGTACAGTTTTTTTTACGATCCTTTTGGAGTTCATAAGCGTGATGATTGGGTGTTCACGCGGCTGTGTGAGGTGTGCCGCCCATTAACCTTGTTACGCCTTTGGCACATGACCCATCTGACGTGAAAAAAAAAAAATGTGTACAGTTTTTAGCATTAAGATCTGCTGTATATAAAAAGGTTAATGATATTACTTTTTAAAAAAATATATTTTTATTGATTTCATAGAGAAAGGGGAGAGGGAGACAGAAAGATAGAAACATCAATGATGAGAGAGAATCAATGAGGATTGAGCCTGTAACCAGGGCACCTACTCTGGGAATCAAACCTGTGACCTCTTGGTTTACAGGTCAACACTCAACCATTTAACCAATGCTGGCTGGGCTAATGATATCATTAAATGTGCTATTTCTGCATCCTGTACATCAGACCCTGCATATGCAGAAACAACCAGCGCCTTAAAAAATATTAATAAGATAGCTCCATGGATTGCTGACAATAAACAGAGTAGATCTTTTCCAGCCCAAAACTATGTGATACACAAGATACTTTGGAATTGCTTTATGTAATTACACAAGACATCTTAACAGGATAAAGTATCAGTTGTTACCCATTAAGAAGGCCATTTAACCAAAGAAAGCCTTGATATTTTATTTTTCAATAGCAATAGGGCAAGACTTTCTAACAACTCAGAATAGTTCGAAGATAAATTAGTTTATTTGTTGGAAACTTCTGAAGAAGTAATCAACTCAGTTGTCTTGTGAGGGCAGTATTTCTTTCACTATGTGAAACCTGCTCTTGGAATGGGAATTTTCAAATAAGAGCAGGGGGAAGGCTAGAATGAATCGTGTGGTAACCAACTGGCATTGGAGACATCAATATGAACTCATATTTATCTTAATACAGATATAGAAGGATAAATAGACAAATAATTGTAGATATATGTATACATATATTCCTGAGCTCTGCCCTCTGAGAGGATCAAGAAACAAAGGCACGCCCTAGCCTGTTTGGCTCAGTGGATAGTGTCAGCCTGTGGCCTGAAGGGTCCCGGGTTTGATTCTGGTAGGGACACATGCCCGGATTATGGGCTCAATCCCCAGTATGGGGCTTGCAGAAGGCAGCCGAACAGTGATTCTCTCTCATCATTGATGTTTCTCTCTCTCTCTCTCTCTCTCTCTCTCTCTCTCTCTCTCTCTCTCTCCCTCCCTCCCTCTCCCTCCCTCCCTCCCTCATTATTCCTCTCTGAAATCAATAAAATAAATAAATAGATAGATAAATAAATAAATAAATAAAATAGCTAGATAAATACACAAATAAATCAGTAGCCATAAGCACACCCAGTACCCAGATCTTGGTTTCTAATACCAAGAAAAAGAACCAGGGTTTCTTGGAGAAATGGCTAATTCTAGAACCAGTACAGGAAATACCCTGAAGCATCTTGTAGTGCCAGAAGGTTTTAAGAAAAGGCTTAAAAAAACAAAAGCACCCACAATGATAGGGGTATGTCAAAGAGAGACATGGGAGACAAGGGAAAGCACTCACCATGGAGGAAAGGAACGGGGAGGAAGGGAATAGAAGAGAGAGAGAGAGAGGAAGAAAGAATTTTTCTCTCCACAAACAGAGAATACCTATTCTTTTCCTATCCAAAGAACATCTATAAAAATCCATCATGTACAGAAAGATCTCTATAAATCCACTAAATTCTGTTAATACAAAGTAACAAAATGAAAAAAATAGCAATAAGATGATTTTTTTCCAAAAATTCACTTGAACTCTGACTGGTGTTGCTTAATGATTACAGTGTTGGCCTGTGCACTGAAGGGTTGCATTCTAAGATAGAGAGTTAGAAAATCGATGAGAGAGAGTCATCAATTAGCTGCCTCTTGCAGGTTTGATCCCCAGCCCTGGTTGGGGCACAATGTGGGAGGCAACCAGTCGATGTGTCTCTCACATCAATGTTTCTCTCTCTGTCTTTCCTCCTCCCTTTCCCTCTCTTTAAAAATTAATAGAAAAAAAGGATCCTTGAGTGATGACTAACAAAATAAAATACATTTTATTTTTACAATTGAGCTATCAGCTGTTAAAGTGTGGATACTTTTTTGGAGGTCAACGTTTATGTATAATAGAAAGCAAGAAAAGAAATAAGTGAATCGATGATTTGCCTTGTTGGCAAAAAAAATTAGAAATCAACTCAGACAAAACAAAACAACAAAAAATAAGCTTTTGGCTCAGCTCATAGCACTGAAAGAGAAAGATGAAAAATCAGGTCCAAAATGGTTAGGAACTCTAGGTAGCTCTGAGGTTGGTGATTCAGCTAACAGAAAGCAGAGATTCATATATTAGATGAATCTGCTACTAAATGAATCAGCTCCTGGATGAATCAGCTACAGCTGTGTTCAGTCTTATAATTTTGGTTAAAATGTAGTTGCCATGGAGTGAGCATAAAATTAGCTTAGGTCGGGTTTCATGTCTATTTTTTAATCTAGAAAAGTTCAGTTCATCTTCATTGATGGCTTCACCAAAGGGTATCCAATAAGGAAAGGTTAGTTCCCCAAGAATAGTTGTGTCATCAGCAGGAAGGGCCATTGATGTGGGGTAACAAAAACAATAAAATGTCCATTACATATTTTTAAATTCTTGCTAGAATGTTTACCGTAGCATTTATTATAATACCAAGCAGTTATGGGTGTGTGTGTGTGTGTGTGTGTGTGTGTGTGTTTTACATCTTGACACCTGGACAAATGAATATGACCTTATTTGGCAAAAGGATCTTTGTAGATATAAATGTAATTAAATGAGTGATCTCACTGAAACTGGTTTGGCTCAGTGGATAGAGCGTCAGCCTATGGACTGAAAGGTCCCGGGTTGGATTCCGATCAAGGGCATGTACCTTGGTTGTGGGCACATCCCCAGTTGGGGGTGTGTAAGAGGCAGCTGATTGATGATTCTCTCTTATCGATGTTTCTAACTCTCTATCCCTCTCTCTTCCTCTTTGTGAAAAATCAATAAAATATACTTAAAAAAAAAAAAAGAGTGATCTTGAGATCAGCCTGGATTATCCTCATGTGCCCTAAATCTGATAACCTTACAATGGACAGAAGAGAAGACACAGACAGAAAAAGCCCTGGCCGTATGAAGTCAGACATTAGAGTAATGCAGCCACAAGCCAAGGACTGCCTGGGGCCGCCAGCAGCTGGAAGAGGCAGGAAGGACGCTCTCCTG